AGTAAAGAATCAACTACAGAAACATAGGGAGGAAACCCAATCTGAAAAAAACACTGCAGTAAAAGAATTAATAACTGCTTCTAAAGAAGACATTGATTAAAAAAAAATAGAGGAGATTAGAAAAATGACGGATTCCTTGAATGAGCAATACAGGAAAGAAATAGATCACATGAAGCAGAGTCAAAGAGATATAGAGGAATTTAAAATCTCAGTCACAAGCTTGCAAAACCATTTAAGTAAAAGTGAAGACAGTTTCAGATCTTGAAGACGCTGGTGCAGCTAGTGAAAAGGGAAGAAAGGATTTCTTAAAAACAACTAGGATGCAGGAAAAATAATCCATTACTTGCAAGATGATGCAAAGATGAACAATGTGAGACTAATAGGCATCAATGAGAAAGAAGGAGTCAATACAAATGACATTAAAAAAATATAGGCAGAAGTAATAGCAGAAAACTTCCCAAATATGAAGAAACAATCTGACATTCAGGTAACCAAAGCATACAGAATGCCAATAACCTCAACCCAATGAAAAACACACCGAGACATATAATAGTCAAGATCTCAGAAATTTAGCAAAAGAATAACATAGTGAAAGCTGCTAGAGAAAAGAAGCAGATCACATTCAAAGGAAAACCCATCAAAATTATGGCCGACTTCTCTTCACAAACCATGAAGGCAAGAAGAGCATGGAGCAGAGTACTTCGAGTACTCTATGAAAACAAATTCCAGCCCAGACTACTATACCCTGCAAAACTCTCTTTCAAGTTTGATGGAGAAGTGAAATACTTTCATGACAAAGAATAGCTAAAGAATTTCATGATGACAAAGCCAACTCTACACAGGCTACTGAAAGATGTTCTAGAGAGGGACCAAAATGATCAGAACTCCATGAATGAGATCGGAAGCAACCAACTAAATAGGGTAAGCAATTAAATACAGGAGAAAAAGGAGTAAACGATAACAGGTAAATAACATGTCATTCGTAAGTCAATACATCTCAATTCTAACCATCAATGTAAATGGACTCAATTCACCAATTAAGAGAAATAGACTGGCACAGTGGATTAGGAAACAAAATCCAACAATATTCTGTATACAAGAAACACATTTAACTCATAAAGACATCCACAGGCTGAAAGTCAAAGGATGGAACACAATATTACATGCCCCAGCACCTCAGAAAAAAGCAGGGGTAGCAATCCTATTCTCTGACTGTCTCAACTTCAAACCAACAATGATCAAGCGAAATAAAGAAGGCCAGTGCTTGGTGGTGACAGCCCACATTGGTGTCCTGTCTGTATCATTCTATCAAAAACTTCCTGGAGTTCTCACAAGAAGGCCATGAGCAGGGCTCTAGTGTTGCCTGTGTCCCAGGATCTTGCCACCCCTCCTTTCCCGGCTAGTGACAGCCACATCCTATCTCCCTGTCTCATACATATGGACATATATGTACTGTGGTTTAATTATGTGTTCATATGCCTAGATGCATATACATGCATATGTATACATGTTTGCCCATGTGTATGCATGCATATGTGTGATGACATGTCCATATGCTTTCATACATATGTGCATGTGTGAATATGTGTGTGTAAACAGAAAAATGTCTTTGAGCTCAAAACTGTATTTACATGGCCTAGGATGCCTTCCTGTCCTTACCTTACACACGCTTAACTGCACAGAATTGAAATCAGCCCCCCGTGCTGTCTCTATGTAGGGAAGGCGCCGACGCCCTAGGAGACTCCACAGCCCCCATGGTCTCTCCTGAAGCACAAAATCCAAACACGCATGACAGGGCAGAGCAGGCCCTAAGCCAGGTGTGGAAACTGAGATGTGTTTTATCAGCAGGGACAGAAAAAGAGAGCAGCAGAGTCTGCTCCCTTGCCCCACCCCTGCCTGGGAGGCAGGAAAGGGACCTGCCCTGGGGTGACACATGGGGCCCCCTGTCTCGCCCTGGCCTTGGGCAGACTGCACATAAATGCTTCCAGCCACCTTGGACGCTCTTGTTTGTCCTGAAGTGCAGAGGCTCTGGCACCCGGTGGACCTGCAGCCCCAGGCCCTGCCTCTGAGGCACCTCTGGACAGGCTCCTCGCCCAGCTCTTCCCTCCCTCTGGCCCTTGGGGTGGGCCTCTGTGCTTGCAGCCTCCAGTCTCCTGCCTTCACTCAGGCCTCTGTGCTGTGGTGGTCA